CAAAATGTCACATGATCTTTCCCTAACTGAATTTTAATACCAGCTACCATTGTATCAGACTAGAAATTAAAGCTGAAATGTTTCCATTTAAGAGCAAGCACATACATGGAAATTCAGGAACCAAGAAGTAACTAAGAGACTTCTTGGCAAAGGGCACATTCTAGAATAAGGACTTTATGTTTACTTTCAACAATAGTACCTAAGCTTGGAATGGACCTAGCCATGGAGCTTTTTGGGAAACAATTCCTGCGTCTACACATGCCATCTAGATTTCTAAAGAACCCTTAATGTCAGCCAAACAAACAGGGGTTTTCAAGGCACAGTGATTGCCCCGTGGCAGTTATTTCACTGCCAACAGTTCTCAAACTTGAGTGTGCACCAGTATCACCTGGGGGGCTTCTTGCACACAGATCACCCCATCCCCAGAGTTTCTTATTCAGTGTTTGCATGGTACTGGTACCAGCATGGTAATAAGCTTCTCTTCACCCTTGACAGAAATAGTCTGTGGACCGCACTGCAATATATTGTCATCTTGGACACTTCAATCAACACCAGTGCCTAGGCTGATTTAGACTCAACACATAAGCTTTCTTTAGATGTGAAAAACTAATAGAAGAAGGTTTATAACACAATTCACCTGCAGGTTCATTTTCTAACAGTGATACAATTGTTTCATTAGGAAAATGTATTATTAACTTATTAATAAGTTATCAAGAAAATTTAAAAAGTATTTTGTTTAACCCTTTTAATTACAAGCAACTCATTACTTAGTGAGAGCAAGAACTAAAAGAAATAGAAACTCCTAAGTACAAAACAAGTATCTTTGCTTTATTAAAATATTATAATAAGCTCCATCTATCTAAACACTGTCATTGCTTCCTTCCATCCTTCCTCCCTTCATTTATTTCAGAAAAAAACATCTGAAAGATCACCATTTTCTTTCTTATTTGCTTCTGGACTATTCTGATCTTTTCAGGGTACTTGGCCCTGCCACTAAAGACTGGAAACTGTTGTTCCTTCATTGTTCATTCAGCAAATATTTTACTGAGCATCAACAATAGGTCTGACACATCACTAGATATTAGAGATAGAGTAGTGACTGAGAAAGACAAAGTCCTTGCCCTCATGGAGCTCACATTCTAGTGGGAGAGATGTACAAATAGCAAAGCAATTACAAAATATAGCAGGAGGTACAGAGTACAATGAGAGCACATGAAAGGAGTACCTAACCCAGATTTGAAGGTGGGGGCAGATAGTTGGGGCAGTCAAGTTTTCCCAAAGAAAGCGTCACCCAAAATGAATCCTGAAAGGTGAAGTAAAGCTGAGGGAACAACAGAAAGAACATAGTGTTTCTAAACAATTGAAATAATTCAGTATGGCTGGAATATAGCAAGTGGTGGCAGGGATAGGGGATAAGACAGAGTAATAGGGAGGGAAAGGCAAGTGGTGAAACTGAAAAGATGTGCAAAGCTACACATCTGATAATGGGCTGATAACTAGAATCTATTTAGAACTCAGGAAAATCAGCAAGAAAAAATCCAACAACCTTATCAAAAAATGGGCAAAGGACATGAACAGAAACTTCTCAAAAGAAGACAGAATAATGGCCAACAAACATATGAAAAAATGTTCAATATCTCTAATCATCAGGGAAATGCAAATCAAAACCACAATGAGATATCACTTAACTCCAGTGAGAATGGCCTTTCAAAAAGTCCCCAAACAACAAATGCTGGCGTGGATGTGGAGAGAGAGGAACACTCCTACACTGCTGGTGGGACCGCAAACTAGTTCAACCTCTGTGGAAAGCAATATGGAGATACCTCAAAGCGATACAAGTAGATCTACCATTTGATCCAGCAATTCCAACACTGGGTATCTACCCAAAAGATCAAAAGTCACTTTATGAAAAAGACACCTGCACTTGAATGTTTATAGCAGCACAATTCACAATTGCAAAGCTGTGGAAACAACCCAAGTGCCCATCAATTCATGAGTGGATTAATAAAATGTGGTATATGTATACCATGGAGTACTACTCAGCTTTAAGAAACAATAGTGATATAGCACCTCTTGTATATTCCTGGATACAGCTGGAACCCATTCTACTAAGTGAAGTATCTCAAGAATGAAAAAACAAGCACCACATGTACTCGCCAGCAAATTGGTATTAACGGATCAACACCTAAGTGGACATATAGGAGTAACATTTATCTGGTGTGGGGGGGGATGGGTGTATACAACCACAATGAGTAAGATGTGCAACGTTTGGGGAATGGACATGCTTGAAGTGCTTACTCGAGAGGGGAGGGGAGCATGGGCAATATAAGTAACCTTAACACTTGTACCCCCATAATACGCCTAAAAAAAAAAACAGATAAAAAAGTATTGGGAAAGAAAGTTAAAAAAAATACCTTCTGCTTCTGTGTATTATGGAAAAACACAAAATGAGTGACTACCTGGTTCACAAAGATACCCTAGTGGCCCTGTCTGCAGTATCTCTCTCCCTCTTTGTTTTGTTTTGTTTTGTTTTAGTGAATCACTCTTCCTCTTCTCCAGTTCTAGGCATGTGGCCCATATTGTAGCTGCCATCCTTTTAACATGATTCTACATCCCTGGCCATAATAATTGGCTGGGAAGTGAACACTTGCTCTAAAACCAGCCATGGATAGGACTCCACACTCCTTGCTATAGTCTAGTGCTAATAACATGAGTTAAGACCAATCAATCAGGTCTTCCCCAGGTTTTCTTGGACTGGAGCTGGCAAGGAAGAACCCTTTCCTCCATGGTCAAAGTGCTGTGGGGATGTGAGCTCAGAGCTAGTAGCAGCCATGTCTAGCACCATATGGAGAATTCTGTCTTCAATATAAAAGAATTAAACCAACACAGAGAGAGCAGCATAGATAACAAGAGGAGAGAGTCCTGACAGCTTTTGAGCCTCTAGTTTTTAGTCCCTAAGGCCAACGCTGAGGTTCCTGAGGTTACCTTGTCCTTCCCATGGCCTGGTTGTTCAGCTCTTTCTCCAAACCTGTGAGGTGCCAGGTATACTTCCTATAAAGTCGCTTTTAACTTAAGCTAGTTCTAATTAAGTTTCTGTCAAATGCTTGTATGCTCTCTACTTGGCATGTTCCTCTGAACTGGTATTCTCAAAATGGGTATGTAACAACTGTAAATTATGTAGCTTATTTCTAACTTGCTCAAGGCCATTTCTCTATTTCTGTACCTCATTTCTTTACATCTATACCTATTTTCTCTCTTCTGAAGATTTTGAAACCAGCAACCAAAACAGAATCAGGCTCACACAGGACTTAAAAGGCCTCCTCACATCTGCCTTCTTATTCTCCTGGCAGAAACAATTGCTCCATGGGGCCAATTAGCTATTTCAGGGTGAAGGAAAAAAATAAGTAAAGTGGACCTTTCCACTCACTTCTAGCCCCTGGCTTAAATCACTTGAGTGACTAACTGGGTATCCAAGTTTGGGGGTAAAAGGAGGTCACAGGGCAAAGGACAAAACAGAGATGTCTAATGGAGTCCACTGTTGACTCATATTCAACATAGCAAAAACAGAACACACTGTCTCTCTCTCCACCTAAACTAACTCCCTGTCCCAGCTCCCTTATTTTTTACCTGAATTTAGACCTGAAATTGTGGAATTTATCTATAATTTCCCTCTCTCTATCTATAGCCAGTGAGATACTGATTCCTGTGAATTTTTTTCTTTGAGCTGTCTTTTATATCCATTCATTCCTCTCTATTCTCACTGCCTGAACCCAAATCCAGGATTCATCACTTCCTCCACGACAAATCTTTCCTTTTTTCTCTTAAAATGTTTAATTGACAAAGAGTATATATATATTCAAGGTATACAATATGACTATTTGATATTCATATACATTGTATAATGATTATCACAATCAAATCAACACATCTATCACTCCTGCTGTACATTAGATTCCCAGAACTTATTCATCTTAAAACTGAAAGTTTGTATGCTTTGATCAACGTCTTTCCATCTCCCCCACTCCCAGCCCCTGGCAACCATTGTTCTAGTCTATATTTCTAAGAATTTGACTTTTTAGGTTCCACATATAAGTGAAATCACACAGCATTTGTCTTTCTATGTCTGGCTTCTTTCAATTAGCATAATGTCCTTTATTTCATCCATGTTGTCACAAATGGAAGGAATTCCTTCTTTTTATGGCTGAATAGTATTATACACACACACACACACACACACACACACACACACACACACCACATTTTCTTTATACATTCTTCTGTGGTTGGACACTTAGGTTGATTCCATATCTTCACTGTTAGGAATAATGCTGCAGTAAGCATGAGGGTGCAGATATCTCGCTGACATACTGATTTCATTTCATTTGGGCACATGCCCAGCAGTGGGATTGCTGGATCATATGGCAGTTCTATTTTTAATTTTTTGAAGAACCTCTATACTTTTTTCCATAATGGCTGTACCAATTTACATTCCCATCAACAGTATACAATGGTTCCCTTTTCTCTGCATCTTTGCCAACACTTTTATCAATTGTCCTTTTGACAATAGCCATTATAACAGGTGTGAGGTGATATTGTGGTTTTGATGTATATTTCCCTGATGATCAGTAATGTTAAGCACCTTTCCATATACATTTTGGCTATTTGCATGCATGACTAATCTTTTAAATGGTTTTTCTGATGTTACCACTTCCCCCTTCACCAGCTACAGCTGAAAGGAGCAAGGATAGGACCCGGAACCAACAGCTGCCAATCTACAGTCTGGCCAGTGATCTAAGACAAAGCCAGGTACAAATATATAAAAAGGGACAATCAGGTTCTCTCTCAGGAATATTCCCTAAAAATATGAGAGAGAGAGAGAGAGAGAGAGAGAGAGAGAGAGAGAGAGAAAGCAAAAAGGATACCTGGAGAGAAGCCATGAGAAAGAGTCAGAACTATATGAATAAAAGATAGAAAATAAAGCCTCAATAAGCCATACAAACCAAAATTATAAAGGAGCAGAATCCTGCCGACTATGGCACCTTTCTCTTTCAGCTTCCTTCAGATTTGTACTAAAATAAAAGAAAAAATAAACAAATAAGGGAACAGAAACAATGAGTAAAATAGAAACTAGGAACTACAGAAAAGATGAGCAGAGGAAAAAATTAAGGCAGTCAGTAGTGAGAGGGAATAAAGCTGAGTCATGTTCATGGCAGAACACTAGAGTAAAATGTTTCAAAATCCTGCTGCTGAGGTTCCTGAAGCTGCCATGGAGCCAAGTACAAGTCCCATGTAGTCTCACTGCATTCTGGTTTTGGATCTTTGATTCCCTTGAAACCTTTGTCTCCCTCATTGCTCTTTAACAATATCACCACCACCACCCCACTCTTTACTGGAGATAACTTGAAAGTGTCTCTATCACTTGCAAACAAAAGAGCCTAATAAAACAGTTCAAATCAAGTGTGGTCCGGCTTCTGAGATACTCATTATCTGGCCCCACCACACCTGTCCAGCCCTCCAGTCCCACAACTCCTCAACAAGAACACCCACCTCAGAACCTCCACCTTGCTGGACCATCACTGCCTGCCCTCCCCCCTTTATACACAGCAGTCAGCTTTGTCTCCATACCTTTGCTGGTGCTTCAGCCTCACAGACCTTCATTTCTCTTCACCCAACCAAGTTCTAGTCACCCTTTAAGCCCTTCATCCTCCAGGAAGACATTCCTAGTCTTGCCACCCCACATGACTTCTCCATCCTTTTCACTTCTAATCCCTATAGCCTGAAGCATATGCTCTAGCACCCCATTTTATGATGTCCTGTGTTTTTCTCTGCTTATACCAGGTTTTTATCTCCCTAACTGTCTGTTAAACTCATGAGGAGCAGGAATACATTTTATATTGTTTTCAAGTACCCCATGGTATCATGAAAAGTAGATATTAATAAATATTTGTTGTTCAAATGGTATTTACATGTAGTGCTAACAATCCAAGAGGCATATCATATAACGTCATTACTGCAAAACAATCATTAATGAGAAGACTGCATTAATGGAGCCCATGCTGAGAGTGTAGCAGTTGAGGCAATATCCTAAGAGAAAGGCTCAGCTTAAGGGAATACTCCCTTCATACATGGGCCTTGTGAAAGAAAGAACTACACTTTTTATTTCCTCCAGAAAGAAAGAGAGAACAGGAAAGGCCTGAGCCCTGTAAATGTCACCTAACTGCTTGATATCATGAAAGACCTCTGAGCCTATTCTAGGGAAAGAATACAATGCTGACCTCATCTTCCTTAGGAATGAGCACCTCAAGACATAGGCCAGAGAAGTGTTAATCTTTTTCTCCTTTCATCCTGGCAGCTTAGGTTCTGGGCTGCCCCACTGCAGAGAATTGCTCTGACCTCCTTCTCTGAGGACAGCTTCCTTTCCAGGGCAAGCCCAAGTCACCTTTGATAAAGGTCACCATTCGATGTGGGACTTTCAAATATCAAGAGATGCTGAACAATGAAGAAACCAAGAACTTTCCCTCAATCATAACACTTCAATGCAAGAGGAAAATATGGCTCTACCCAGTGTCATTTCCAAAATTGATAAGGGACCCATACTTCAGCAGTGCTATTTTGATGCTCCATTATGAGTCATAAAATTTCTATTCAACACCCACTCCCTGAGCCCAGGGTATTATTTATTCCAAGGGTTTGGTAAGAGGTCTCAACTAAATGTAGGATAATCTGCCTCTGAAAACCATAGTTAAGAAAAGGGCAAGTTTCTTGTCATCCTCAGAAACTGATATGCAAAAAATAAATCTGACTAAGAACATGTGGGTGGGAAGGTACATGGGAAAGAGGATTTAAGAAAAACTTCTTCCATGTTACCCACTCAGAAGCTATTGCTATGCTGTACCTTTATTTCTTCATTTCCTGTTTTTGCTTATAGCAGATAAAAACTTGATGGCAATGATCTTAATTTTCTCTGTCAGCCTTCAAGCTTATGTTGGGGAGAGGGTGGGCAGGGATTATTCCTATCTTCAGGCAAAAAACCAAAGTTCAAGAAATTGGGCTCTAGCAGCAGATGGAAAATGCAAATGGTCCCCAGAGGCTGCTGTGCATACATCTGGAATGCCTCCAGATCTGGGACAGGAAAGGCATGTTAGTAAGGAATCTAATTGGATGTCCAGGCATGCTCTCTGACATTGTGAATCTGGAAAACGTAGATAAAAGATGTTAATAGACTTAAAGGAGATTTTTTTCCCTTTACCTGGCTAGCCCAGGGTTTGAAATTCCAATATTAAGGGTTCACTTATTTCATTTATTCTTTCTTATATTCATTGCCTTTTCCCTGGAGTCTTCTTAAAAAGGCAAATACTTATAAGAAGGCTTACATACAGTCACTAACATTTTAGTGTGAATTAATCTGTCAAATTCTGTCACTAGAATTCATATGGGCAGAGGGAGGGAGAGAGAATGCATGCAAAAAACGTCATGCTTTCCTACCTCCTAAAAATGGATTCACAATCACCTCTGCCAACTCATGAACATCAGAATGGGTGTCAGAGACTGTGAAAACCTCACTTTCAGGCAGTTTCCTCTATGTCTGGTCATGGGGTATGCCAGCTATTGAGTCCTTTTATGTTTAGGGGGATGTTGATGGAAGGAAGTTCTCACAGTTCTCACCTTCTCTCCCACCACCGCAACCTTTTGCAAAGATTATCTGAGCCTCCATGGCTTGATTTCTATTCCAACAGCTAAGAATGCTGAGTCCCAGCTCATTGCCTCAGTACTGGCTGTCCCTTCTGCCTTGAATGCTATTTCTCCTGAACTTTACATAAATCACATACCCGCTTCTCAGACAGGACTTTCTCATCTAGCACATGTCCCCTCTAGCACATTGCCAATTTATTTTCTGTATAACACTTGTCAGCATCTAATTTCATCTAATTATTTTTGTTTCTTTACTTGTATAATGTTTTCCTCCCTCCATAATACCAACTAGAATTTCATGAGGGCAAGAACCATATCTGTTTTGTTCACAGATGGGTCTGGAACACTGCCTGGTCCATAAAAACCACTCAGTACATATTTGTTGAATAAATGAATGGATAGATAGATGAATGAATGAGTCCCTCCTCTCCAACTGGATGCCGCATGATTACATTTTTAAAAATATTTCTCAAGTTAGCTATACCCAGCAAGATTCACCACTAACCTATTCATTTATAGTAGAAGGAGTTAGCACCCTGGTGACTCTTCATACCAAGATCCCCTGTCCTAAGTACTATCTGCCTGGGTAAAAAAAAAAAAAAGTGGAGTAAATTCTACTTACTTTCAACAGCCCCAACTGCAGTATCTAACAGAAAGAGGAAGTACTGATACTGAACTATAGTACTGATACTGAACTGATAAGGTAAACACAGAACTGGTTTTGGCTAGGACTCACATCTGCTTCACAACTTCACTGTACTAGATTAAATTCTTTCAACATGTAGTTTTATGAAATCTGGTGGTGCTAATAACATAGGTAAGAAGATTGAGGGCAGAAAGCCAGAATCCATAGAGCCAGCATTGTACCAAAATGAGGGCTTAGACTAGGCAATAGGTTAGTACCTGGGCAGGGAGGTTGCTAGGGATCAAGAAGCACATATGAACCCAAGCCATATATGTGTTCAGAATCATAAAGGACTGCAGAAATAAAATAAAACAAAGTGAAAAGAGAGCAAACTAGAGGTACCAGGCCCAAAGAGACCCAGATTCAGAGGCTGATCCCTGTCCTATTCAAGAAGTTTCTTAGATGTTTCTTGTGACAAAAGAACACTATATGAGGAAGCAAGGAAGTGAATCAGCCAAACTTGAGCAGGAAGCATAATAGGGTAAAAAATAAGAATAAGGGCAAATTCAGGAAATAGTTTTGTTGGAAACTACCTAAGCTCTGAGTCTAGAGAAGGAGAGGTGAGAGGTGCTCTTCAGAAGTGTTTAGTATGCAAAAACCAAAGCTACTATCAGTGAACACACAACTAGGTGCCAAAGAAGGAACAGGCCCTGTAGGAGACCATGGAACCCTGATGACTTCACCCATATCTACATACAACACATAGGCAAAGGCTTGAACCACAGCCTAAGTCTTGGTGGAATTCCTTGTGATGCCCCTGAAGCATGAGAGGACTGGAAGCCTGTAGGGAGCTGCTATGTGACCATCTCCCACTTGCCTTTCTACCTCCCCTGCGAAGCTAACATGAGATAGTTTCTCATCATCTCCCTGGTTTGATAAGGTATGGGGTTTTTTGCTATGCCCCTTCAATATAAATTTTACATAAACATAATTTATAAATATAAATGTATATAAACATATATTCTTCAGAACATATACATATATAAAGTTGTAGAACACAGAACTGTTTAGAGGCAGCCTAGATTGAGCTCCTCAGCAATGCAGTGTCCGACAATGTGCACTGCAGTCATCCAGTCCCTTTTGTTTCTATGTCATCCTTTTTAATGTATAAGACAAGGACCAAAGAAGCTGGTACTTTAGGCTTATTCTGCTTTTTGCTAAGTAATAAACTGTCTAAATCTAAAAGTATCTCATTGTATCTTTACCAGTTGAATCAGTCAGGCTTTGTCTTGTGTTGTATGTGTGAGATTCATAGGCCTTGGGCACAAAGAAAGGCAATCTTCTCATTTGTACCATGATGTTTGTTGTGAAGGATTTCCCTCCTGGGCAGTTTGTGTTAAAATATTCAGATATATGTTAATCCCCTCTGAAGAAACCCTGATACAGTCCAAACCTACTTAGCCAGTTCCCTGATGACTCACAGCTACTTTGAAGCTATTAGCCATTTGCTACAGGGAGACAGAGCATCCCAGCAATGCAGTCTCACAGGGTTCACAGCCATTATCCTTACAGAATCAAAAGAGTTCATTTTGGCCGTGCTCTCACTTCAGGCAAGCCTCCACTTCACTCATCTCAGTCCAAGGAGGATATAACCTATTTGCAAGGATTTCTGGAAAAGAGCCACCATGTTCTCCATCAACTACTGCAATCTTTGATCTACCAGGACATTCGTAAGTTTCATGATTCTCACACTGTGGTGGTGACCAGCAAAGTCCCTCTATGTTCCCATAAAGGCAAGGAGTCCAGTACTGAGCACTAACAGAGAGGTTAACATGTACAGCAACAATCCTAGACCTCCAGAAATTTATATTCCAAGGAAAACATCAAACTGAGACACAAAAACAAACAT